CAGTCAGGACAGAAAAAAAGTTCCCAAGATACTTCCTCAATGAAGAAGTAGATGTGGTAGCCTACCTCTTTGTATTATCGGTTTGTGGGTCTGGATTCAAGGTTTTTGATGTGTCAGAAAATATATCTTAAAACAAAATTAGATTGCTAATTCGATTAATTTTTCAAAAGTAACACCTTTTCAGTGTTTTCTCTCCTTCAAAACAATCCTCCTGCAATTTTATTAGCACATACCTTCAGGCTTTGATATCAAGCAGTGGTAGAAAAACAATAGCCTTGATTTTCCCATGGTTTAGTTCCCATGCTTTTTTGACATGAGAAATTTCTGTTAGTATTTCTTGCTGGAGCCATCTATTTATTGTTCCTTTTTAAAAAAGGAACTGAGTCTGAGGGCATTCCTGCCATACTCGTGGTCTTAGGGTCATGTGTTTCTAAGCATTCCATATTTGCCGAAAATATGTGTAAGGTTGAAAACACTATAGAACCAGTCTTTTAGTAATAGTTTGTTATATGGATGTATGGTTTCTACTTGTTATCCATAGTGCATATGGGTCCATGTACATATGTACACATTTTCAATAAGTAATTTTTGTGTTGATCCTTATTTTCTGGGTTTTAAACATAATAGTTTATTTCCAAAGGAAGGCAAGTAGAGGGTTTTGTTTGCAGACAAGTGTTCCTTTAATATGGAAGAATAAATTTCATTGGAGAATTCCAAGTCACTCCTTTGACTAAATATTTTCCTATTATGGAAAAGCTTAGGGCAATGCAGGAGCTGTATTACATGATCATTTTACAGAGAAGTCTTAGGAGTTAGACTAACTTCTAGTGGTATTGCCATAAGAGCTTATAGCTTTATAAATGGAAGCTCTGCGGGCTTGTTTCTGTGAGGAAGATGTTATTAGGAGGTGGAGGATGATGGGAATGGTTAGTGTAATAGGAATAACTGGGGCCCATTTGGCATATTTCTTTGTGGTAAGATATATTTTCTATGAAGTGCATTTTCAAGACCTTTATTTTACTTGTCTGCTGTATGAGATACCAATATTTTATTTTCAATTCAGTTTTATTAAAAATGCAGTTCTATATTTTCTCTTCCGTTAAAACATTTTAGGAAAAAACACTGCCAGAACCACGTATTTGTGTGAAGGCTAAGTATTTGGGAGGGATTGTAGTTATAAATTTTATTTGAGAACAACGTATTAGTGCTTCTTTAATAGTATGCATAAATATTTCCGTGGGGGAAATTTATTCTAAATACTCTTAGTAATTGTAGTTTTGTGTGTTATTTTACCAGTGCAAATCAAAACGTAAATCTTTTCTATTATTTGTGTGACTATTTTGATATATTGTCCAATTCTAATATTGTGTAGATATGAATTTATATGTGTAACATACACAGAGGCTGGGCTCAGATCTCGTTTTCCATCACTTGGACTAGCATACAGCCCCTTCTTCCTTCTTAGTCTTGATTCCGTATTCCACCTTTCACATTTAATACGTTCCTTCATTCTCCCATGTCCTTGTTTTCTTTTTTCCTGTCCTTCATCACTCAACTCATCACTATCATCTCCTTGGGATCTCTTAGACTATTGTGACAGTGGTAACATCCAATGGCACTAGGTTCTTCTGGGAGTAGCAGGAGCTTACCATTCTGTGGCAGTGGAGTGACTCAGACGTGGGTAGTGGTTAGCTGTGAAGGAAGATGGTGAGTTAAGGTTCTGTGACCTGTTTTTCTCTATTGCTGAATGAGGGGAAAGTTTAGGCTTGCAAAAGCAAAGGGAAGGGAGTGAGTCAAAGAGTGGGGTGTTTGTCTTTCCTTTAATGGACAGGAAAAGCCAGAAGCAGATCTGACTGCCCAGTGTGAAGCGCTGTCTTCTTCTGCCCTGTATGCCCATGTAAGTTTGTGGCACAGTGTAAGTGAACAAGTGAACGTGAACGTAGGTTATGTATTTTGTAGTATGTACTGTACTAGTATTTTATTGTGTGAGGTCTGTACTATTACAGTCTCCATTTTTACACACAAAGAGAGAGAGCAAGAGAGCGAGAGGGAGGGGGGGGAGGGAGAGAGAGAGGGATTGCCTGAGCTTAGAGTAATCCTTAGAGCTCAGTTAATCCTGTGTCACATGGTTAGCAAAATATGAACTCATGTTCTGAGCTATGGTCACTGATATGTTCTTTCTGAGTAGACATTGGACAAAGCATTGAACTAGTTTGTAGCTCTGTTTCCACATCTGTAAAATAGATAAAAACTGCTTTGTAGTAATGAGCTTTGAAGGTTCCTCTTAGTCTTGACGTACTGCTGGTGCTCAGTAAACAGTAGCAGTTATTTTTTCTTCAGGGTAGTGAAAGACATCAGGGAGCTATCCTCCTCAGTGAAGACAACTGTGTTTAGTATTTCCTAGCAAGAGGAAGATAAGGGACATTCAGGGCACTAACTCTTTTTTCCTCTCCATTCTTCCCCACACCACACATATACTTTCCCATTTTCTCACTGAAAAGTAGACTTCCTTTTCAAGAGAAAACGTCTTACAACTCTTAACTGTACGTAGAAAGGGGTAATTGGCCAACATGGTGGTATCCCAGGGACATGCAGAAGGAGAAGGATCACAGCTCTGGCCAGGCTCGTCATAAAGCGAGACTATACCTCAAAAATAACCATTGCTGCTGGGTATGGTGGCTTATGCCTGTAATCCTAGCTACTCAGGAATACTTAGGAAGTTGAGACCTGAGGATCATGGTTTGAAGCCAGCTTGGGCAGGCTGAGATTCTTGTTTCCAGTTAACTATCCTCCACCCCACCCCAAAGTGGAGCTATTGCTCAAGTGGTAGATCACTAAACTTGAGCATAAAAGCTCAGGGACACCACCCAGGTCCTGAGTTTATGCTCCAGGACTTGCACACATACAAAAAACCAACCCTCCACCCCAAAACAAAAAAAAAAACAACAAAACACCCAAGTCCCCCCAAACCCAGTACAAAAAGGGGCTAGAGGCATGACTTAGTTGGTAGAGCACTTGACTAGCAAGCAAGAGGCCTTCTGTTACAACCTCATTTAAAAAAAATTAAAAAAAAAAGGCAGGAATGGGTTATAATGCAGTTATCCCTGGAAGCAAGCTTTAGTTCAGATACTTAGGTCTTTCCTCTCTCAGTTAATGGAGAGACTCTGTAAAGATATTAGTTTCTTTAAGAGCATACAGTTGATCAAGTTCACCATAATTTTAGCATCAGTAAGCAGAATTGAACTCAGGGGTAGTTCCTAATTTGGTAACCACATTTGCAACTTCAAGAAGACCAGAATGGGCTTTTTTTTTTTTGTTGTTGTTGTTGTTGTTAAGTCATAGAACTGCAACTTAGTCTTTGAAAAATTACAGCTCAAAGGAGAAACATTTGCTTGTGTTTAGTTTGATTTATGCTGAACTTGACCCAAGAGCCTCCTGAGACTGCTTCCTTCATACGCGTTGTGCATTTATGAAATACACATACTTGATGCTGCCAAGTGACATGTGCTAGAGAAACTAGTGACAGGGCATTGCTACTGCTGTGAACAAATGCAGGTTATCTAGACTTGGAAATGAGTAGAAGATGAGCTGTGCAAATAATAAGTGACCTTGGACTTCCTCTTGTCTCTCACAATTCATCACAATGCTGCATACTATCCAGTTAAGAGACAAGAAGCATTCATCCTGATAAGCAAATGGTATTAGGAAGGAATTGTGGTGGTAAATGAAGCTTAGAGAGTCTATTCACTGAGGTAATCGGATCTTGGGATCTAGTATCCTGGGAGCCAAAGGAGTAAGAAATGTTTATCTGTTGTAAAATTGCCTTTGATGTGATTACTCCCTGCATTAATACTTTTAGGTAATTAATGCATTAATTACATAATATTTAATCTGTATTAATATCTTTATGTAACCTTTATGGCCTGAGAGTATTTAAGTTACTTCTTTTGGGTGCTTTTAGAACAAATGCCATAGGTTTCAGTGTTTCTATTTTAAGGCTACTTCATGAGAGGATGTTGAGGTAATTTAGCTACAGTTCTATTTCTGGCTAATTTTATTTTTATACTTACCAAAACAAAATCTAGCCTGAATTATTGTGTTTATGCTTTCTTTCATTATCTGGACTCCGGATTTATTTACTCATTTTGATAGGGAATAGATAATCCCTTTAAGTCTTAAAGACTTAACTCTTTAAAGTAAGATTAGACTTAAAAATATTATTCACATGCAGTGAGATCTAAATTAGATAATTTCTTCTGATTTATACTTGTTTCATATTTATAAGTATCTATGAAGATTGCATAATTTCCTGCCTATTTTAATATTATGTTTGCTGCTTTCGGGTCATTGAATTATATACATACAGGATTTGAAGCAGCTCAAACTAAGTAATGGCAACAAGGATTTTGACTGAGTGAAAGATTGCAGATTGAGGACTGTAATACACAAGTAAAGACTGGTAGTCTTAAATACAAGAAGTTTCTTCCCTTGCTGCTGAAGACCTGACCCAGGAAGCAAATCAAGTATGAAAGATACTTGGCCTACTATCTTCAGTCTCCACCACAGGATAGGAATTGGGCTGCACAGCAAGGATTGTTCAGTAGACCTTCCTTTGTATGTTTAAACAAAAACACAGCTGCTTCAAAGTTTTTAAAGAATTATTTCTAGAAGAGTATTAAAAACCCCATTTTCTTCTGTTAAAATGAGAAGTTTCCTTGGTGACGTCTCTGCCCCATTCAGAGCAATCTCATCGGGAGATTGTTATAAATGGGAGAAAGGGAGAAATTATCAGGGTGCCTTTTGCAGAAAATTTCTTCAGCTTTATTTTTCTTAGCAGAGTAAGAATTTAAGAAAACACAAGCATCATTTGAACATGTTAAGCCAGGTAATTTTGCATTACCCTGTTTATGAATATAACTTCCTTCTAGTATGAGGAAGTGTGATTTTTGTCTGCATCCTTTATTCTTTATTCTTTTCCTAATGAAGTGTGCTTCTTACAGCTGAAAGATGGGGGCAAGGCGTCCCAGGCCAACGTGAGAATAGGCGACATCGTCCTCAGCATCGATGGGATCAGTGCGCACGGAATGACTCATCTTGAAGCACAGAACAAGATTAAGGCTTGTACAGGCTCTTTGAATATGACTCTGCAAAGGTACATTGCTTTCTATTCAGTTCCCAAAGAGAAAAGAACACTGAAGTATGTGCTTCCATGTGTCTTGAGTCCTGATGTTAACTGCACCATGGTTTCTAGTAGATAAATAAAATGGGTAGTTGTTCTTCATTAGAGGAATTGAAAAATTTGAAAATTGCTGGGAGATATTGTGAGTTTTCCCCCCACAAAAGCATGTATTTATAAAAATTTATAAAAATTGTGTGTACTCTTTCTGAGAATTCAAGAATTCTTGAAATGTCTCAGTGGAATGAAAGCTAAGAATTCTTACTATGGAATAAAATTCCTGGCCTTCATATTTTTAGAGCTATTTCAGAAGGCATTCTTTTAGGGTGTGGTTTGTGTTTCTTTAGTTTATCTTTTCCCTTCTTTTTTTTTTGATAATAAAATGATTTTTACTATAGTCATTGAAGGCTGGATTTAAATTTTTTGTGTGTGTGCCGGTCCTGGGGCTTGAACTCAGGGTCTGGGTACTGTCCCTGAGCTTTGTGCTCAAGGCACTCTACCACTTGGGCCACATCTCCATTTCTGGCTTTTTGGTGGTTAACTAGAGATAACAGTCTCATGGACTTTCCTGCTTGGGCTAGCTTTGAACCACAAACCTTAGATCTCAGCTTCCTGAGTAGCTAGGATTACAAGAGTGAGCCACCAGCACCTGGCCTTTTCTTTTCTTCTCTGTTATTAATCTAGCCTTCTTATTGATTGTTAGAAGTCAGCTGGTTTGAGCATCTCAACATTTGACTTGCATTGACATTTTTTAATCATCATTATGGTAAATGAATTTTGGTAAATTATGGTAAATGAAGTAAGTCATGCTCAGAGAGACAAACTGCACATTTTCTTTCATATGTGGAAGTTAGATCTGAAATACAAACATACATGAAAATATATACACAGACAAATGGACTAAAGGATGGTATACTTAGGTGAGAAGTACAGTAGTGTAGCTTTTCTGAACAACCAGTGAACCATTTAGCAAAATGAATAGCAAGCTGAAACATATTCTGTTCTGGGGGCAGTATAGAGAGGAGGGGGCATACCAGTGGAGAAATGATGAGAAAATGCAGTCATTATTATCAATGTACATCATATAAAATTGAACTATGTAACTCGAGGTAGGGATGAGACGGGGAAAGACGGAGAACATGAAAGTGTTGACAGCAATGAAGATAAATTGTACTTATAGACGGATTCATGGAATTGAAATCCTTCTTAACTACCTAATAAAATTAAAAAGAAATAATTACCATGCTGATAAGAATTTCTGAAGGTAAGAATCAGTAATTATGTTTGATTAAATTTCCTGAGATATTAATGAATTATGATGTTAGAATCATTGTAGTATCTCTGGCTTAGCTTTAAAGACAGTGAAAGAATGAAAAGAGAATGAATGAGAGCTCTGAATCTTTAAGTTTATAAGAAAGGTTGCTTGATCAGTTAGTAGGTAATTATGAAAGGTTTTGAACAAGTGTGGTTTTTAAAAAATTTTTTGTGCTCATACTAGGGCTTGAACTCCGGGCCTCATGCTCTTGCTTAGCCAACGCTGGCACGCTCTCATTGAACTGCTTCTTTACTTTTGGTATTTTGCTGACTGATTGGACAGAACAGTCTTGAGGATTTGTCTACTTAGGATGGCTTGAGATAGTGATCCTCAGACTTCAGCCCCCTGAGTAGCTAGGGTTATAAGTGTGAGTCAACAGAAATTGTCTGTATTCCATCAAATCTGGAAAATACTAGCTACCTCTTAAAACATCTCATAGTCTCCATAAACTACCATGCATAAGTATATAAAATAGTTTGTGTCTTCCTAATGTGTTTCAGGCTAGCTTTGAACCTTGATCTTCCTGATCTCCTGATTTTTTTTTTTTAAGTGAAAGAAATCTCTGTCAGTGAAACCACTGATAGAGTGAATCGATAATTATATATATATGTTATATATATATATATTATATATTATTTTTTTTCTTTTTGCTTATGTAGTGCTGAGGAATCGAACCCAGGGCCTCATGCATGCAAGGCAAGCACTCTACCACTGAGCCAACTTCCCAGCCCATATATATTATATATTGTATATATATTATATATTGTATATACATTATATACAATATATATATTGTATATATTATAAATTTTAAATTTTGGTATGTACTGGATATAAATCTTAATATATAGAAATAGTCAATGGAATTAAATAATGTGTAACTTTCAGTACATCCTTCTGCTCTCTTTATTGACTCTTGTAACATAACAGTTATTATTAACTAAGTGAAGCAGGTCTGGGAAGGTGGCTTAGTGGTAGAGTACTTGCTTTGCATGCATGAGCACTGGGTTCGATCCCTTAGCACCACATAAGCAGAAAAAGCCAGAAGTGGCATTGTGGCTCAATGGTAGAGTACTAGCTTGAGCTGAAGAGCTGAAGGACAGCTCCCAGACCCAGAGTTCAGGCCCCACGACCGGCCGCCCCCCCCAAAAAAAAAATCTAAAAAAATTAAATGAAGTTCTCCATTTTTGTTAATAGGCATTTTTGCCAAGTATGAATTTTGAAAAGGAACTAAGATTATAAGAAGCTTACCTTGTCTTAGATATAAAGAAAACAGTTTAAGTATTGGTAATGTTGGGCTGTTTCTCACATTCTAAGACTGAAAGTTTATATAATGGCATACGCTCTTTCTTGGACAAGGCATCATTTCTTTCATCTCTTCGCCTGCTTGTTTTCACATTGTCCTTCGTCTTTTCTAACCCCAAACCCAGTATCTAATTTTCTATTGAAAACACTAGGTCTCATAGGAATAGATGAAAACCAGATGTTACCCTGTTTGGATGCATTTCTAACTCAAACAGTCTGCTACCGACTCTAATAAAGATTTTTTTTTAAACTACTTACTATAAAATCTAACATGACCAACTTACAAAACCAACCTCTTATAAATACTTCAAAATTATTTTTTTTACCTTACCTTCATATTCAGGACCCCATTATATGAGGGAGATTTTTTTTTTTTAGAGTTTTGTTATTCTCTTCATGTATTTGAGCACTGCTTGGCTTATTAGGTTCTATCAGCCTTTTTTTTTTTTTTTTTTGGTAATGTGTGGATTTTAAAAAATTCATTGTATCTATCACATTGAAAATGCGACTAAATAAATACTTTTTCTTTTTAAGGAAAAAATACAACAATGATTATTTCCTATATTCAGGCCAATCTTTTCTAGATTTCTCTCTTTTTCTCACATCCAGAAGACATTTATGAATTTCATCTGTATCCTTAATTGGCTCTCAGTCATTTCTTTATCCCAGTACTCACCAGCCAATCTGTTCTGTATTCTTCTTCCAAAATGGCTTACCTCCAACACGGCTTTCTCTGTGCAGCCCTTTTCTTCATAAACATGTTTTTTTTTTTCATGAATATGTGGCATTTTCCAAAAGCAGAAGGGATTTCATGAAGGGTCTTTTTTCAACTGTTGATTGTAGGGAAGTGAGTGGAACAGGATGGGAAAGTAGTAGAAACTGAGATGGATAAAGATGTGAGTTCAGGGAATACCTAGTCTGTCCTGATTCAGCAGGGAATTGCACCCGCGAGTGTCTTGCCTTGAAGTAAGATGGGTTTTTGCTGGTGCTAGGCATCCAGTGGTATTGGGTGGGGGGCAGAGGAGCTCTCTTGTTTCCATAGAATGAATTATAAGCAGCACTGTAGGAAGTACACTGAGGGATGGGTATACCAATATGTAGACAGGTTCCTGAGGATTCGGACTGGGCGCCAACAGCATAATCTTGAGATTTCATCCACATCTGAGTCCCCGGAAGACTTAGGTTCTTGGTAACCTGGTTCTTATCAGGCTTATCCTCTCCAGATCACCATTATGCATCACTGAATCCACTTCATTTCATTGAAGATCGGTTTCTCACATACCTTTGTGTGCTCTCACAAAATGTGCTTCAGCTGTTGACCGCCGTTGGCTGCCATCAGGGCCACGAATCCCACCTGGAACCTCATCTCCTGCCTATAGCATCTTTCTACTGCTGTAGTTCATGTGTTTTCACGCCTTTGAACTAAATGGAACAGAGTTTGCCATTCACTTCAACATTTAATTATATACTAGGTGTAACCAGAAGAAACAAGATTGATTCTGTGAGTCATGAACAAATTAACCTAATTAGTTAATAGTCGTAACTAGTGCTGCCTATGTTATTAGTTAATTACAGTCTGTGTGTATTCTGTTTCTCTAACTAGACTTTTTGAAAGCAAAATCCTTACTTTCTTCAATATTTGTAGTTGGTAGCATTATTAGAAGGGTGTGGAGGAAGAGGGACATCAAACATTGGAAAGACAAGCCAGAGGGGGTAGACCATACTTCTCAGTCATACTATTAAGGACACTGCCTTTTGTGTCTAGCAACATAGAAACACAAAATCATTATTATTGCTGCCCAACCTTACCCTACATGGGGATTGGAAAAATGTAAGAGGCGCACACCTGCCAACCCCTTCTAGTATAGGGGTTTGACTTCATGGCTTCATGATTGTTTGGCTTGCTTGCTATGTTGGTGTTCTACCACTTGAACCACACCACCAGCCTAGTTTGGAGATTGACTCTCACAGACTGTCCAGGTTGGTCTCAAACCACAGTAATCTAGATCTCAGCCTCTTGATTAGCTAGGATTATAGGTTTAAGCCACCAGTGCCCAGCTGAGAAAACCATGCTGGTTTTTTTTTCCTCCCCAGTTGAACTCAGGGCCCGGGCACTGTCCCTGAGCCTCTTTGTGCTCAAGGTTAGCACTCTACCACTTGATCCACAGTGCCACTTCTAGTTTTTGAGTGGTTAATAGGAGATAAGGTCTCACAGGGCCTTTTCTGCCTGAGCTGGCTTCAACCATGATCCTCAGATCTCAGGCTCTTGAGTAGGTAGGATTACAGGAGTGAGCCACTGGTACCTGGGCCATGCTCATTTTTGAAATAATAACTAGCAATCTTGTTTTGTGAAATT